CCTCTTCAGCTTCGTCGGTAAACGCGTCGGATAAGCCCTTCTCAAAGCCAGCAGTCGCGATTTGCTGTATTCGATTCCCAAATTCTTCCAATCCAACAGCGGCGAAAGACGCTCAACACGATTACGCTGAAACTACTTCAGCCACGGCTCATGTTCCGCAGACAAAGACCGAACCTGATTAATGCGCTGTCGACGAGTTTCTGCGTGAACAAGTGCATATGATCGGCTAACTGCTGCACCGAATCCTCGACAGACTGTGATCTGCGGTCAACAATGTAGCATCCTTCATCTTGAGGACGCTCAATCAGATCCGCCATAAAGCACCCAAATCCAGATAAATTTGTCGTGATTGACGGTATGCCCATCTAACAGACAAGGATTATGTTTGTGCTCAGGCACGAATGTAGCCACGTACCACAGTGCACTCCGCTGGAGTGTATCCCAAGGCTCGTAATAGCTCGGGAAAACCCCGAGATGCGTGCCTCGCACGAATTCCTCGTAGTCTAGCCCAAGAATAGGGTTCGAGCTGTTGAGGAAATCTGGGTGGAAAACGATTTTCACGCGATCCGACGCAGAGTTGAATAAGCGAACTCGGCGAATCTTAGTAAACATAGTTCAGCCTGCGAGAGGGAAAGAGAGATTGAAGCAGATCTGACTTGATTCAGTATCGGATCGTTGTTGTCGTCTGCCATGTTGTGGGTTGTTACAGGAGGCAGACTGTTGCGCTTGAGGGCAAAGATACGACGTTTAAGCAGTACGAGATCCTCGTCCGACAGAAGAGAGGAGACGTCGGGTAAACCAGCAGATGATTCTCTGCAATGCGTAAGGACAGCACGGGAGGAACACGGATGGGCGTCTCACGATTGGAATCTTGCCGCGGTTTCAAACAGTCTTTCGCCGATGCGGTTCTGAATCTCGGTAACCGCGTCCCGCAGTTGTTTGGTGACAGCTTGCCCCTTCAGCGCCTCAACAGTGTAGCTATGTGTTGCGGCAGGCATGATGATGAAAGCGACCACAGTTGTTTTTGAATTTCTGTGACGTCTGTGAGTCACCTGGAGGTGATAAATAGGAAGTTTCGAACGCTTTCTGAAGGAGATAATTTAGACGAGCCAAGGCCTCAATAAACATGTCGACACCCTTGTTCCGATATTCATAACGGCCTGCAGTAAACATCTGATCCGGTAAGTGTCAAAGTAAGAGCAGCTGCGTAGAAACCATACGTAGAGAGTGTGGTCCAAGTCGAAGTTGTAGTGACCGTAAAAGTGACCCCGGACAAATTCATCAATCTTGGCTTTGGAGGTCGCGTGGCGGTTCTGGAATTCGTGCATGGCCTGAAACTTGACGACATTGAGCCCGTTCGGAACGACACCATCGGGTTTCCTCTTGAGAAGATGCTCAGATTCGTAGGCTGTGATATGAGAAACCGTGGTGAAAACGTCAGCGCAATGCGTCGCACTGCGCTCTATGCAGTAGCGGTGATAGATGCCGCGTTTGCCCGCTTCGTGATCAACGTCAAAGTATTGGAGATTGTTGTAAAAGTCGACGCTACCGGCGCAGAGATAGCGACCGAGAAGGGTAGCGAGTGGTGAAAACGGTGGTGACGTCGATATGGCGCTTCCGGCACAAAGGAATCGCAACACCAGCTTGCCACTCGTGAAAATGAGCCACGACAGCAGTGGTGAGCTGGCGGGAGACATAATCCCCAAGGAACCACGCGACGATGTAGCCAAATACGATGGTCTCGTTCGTCTCTGTGTCATTGGGCGGGGAAGGAATACCAGCGAGGTTCCACAAATCGCCCTTCCACTCGTCAAGACGGTTATACATCGAGCCCGTGTCGAATAGTAGAACGTGAGGCGCGCCTTCGATGAGCCAACGTCCATACAAGCACTTCACGCCCTGCGAGCGCATTGAATCCAATGTCGCGGCGAGGTGCGGATCGGTGGGATCCTCGGCCTCTACCTCCATCGGCGCGGACTTATACGAGAGCGGGCCAATGAGACAGTATCGGTCGCCGTATTCACTGACTGTGACTGGGACTTTGGTCTTGATGACTGTGTATATGCCGCCGACCTTGTTGGCAACCTCCCAGGCACATTCGAATAGTAGACTTCGCAAAAGTATGAGAAAAAAACGCGTTGAAACCGGGGCATAGGACGTACGGGTTGCGAATGTCGCGAGACATGGGTGTAAGAGCAACAAGGAAAGATCGTGACGTAAGATCTTGACCCCACATCTCCTTTCTCCACACCTCCACATACCATCGGTAGCCACCGGTGGGCACGTGGCCCAATTTGTCGCGGTGCACCCCAGGCGAGAACTTGGATTTTCCAGCGTTGACGCGCCTGATGCCGGGACTTATTCTGCGTTCAAATGTTCTGCGCTCAGCTTGCATTATACACCAGATTCAAAGGGTGCAACGCCGAAATGATGGATGTACCAGTATCAGCCTCCGTATAATCATCAAGCGATCATAGCAGTCAGTCTACACGATACAAGTTATATCTGCTTTTTCTGCTGCAGGCTCTTAGGGAGTTCCTTCACAAAAGGCAAGAATGTCCGTCCCTGCATGTAAGGCTGCAGCACTGGCGGAATTTGGAGTCCCTGCGAAGTGATGAGCTCCATGTGGTCGTGAATATCATGGTCCATACCGCATCAGTCTGGTAGTTCTCCACGATACAACACAGAGCCCGTTCTGTTGCACAAAGCGTTCCATTGAGCATATGCACGTAGACCTTACGCGCCTGATCCTTCGTTTTGATCCCACACCTCACTTCGAGCCGCCGGCTCTCTACAACCCTAATCAGTTATGCTCGAATGCCTGTCAGGAAGTGAACACTGACGGTAGTCCGTGCAATTAGAGCAAGAAACCAGCTCCTTGTGCTCTCTCTGGAAAGGGAACCAAGCTTCGAGATCGAACTTTTGGGCAGCAGCGAGATTGAGAGCACCCGAAACGATGGCCACAACGCGGTATCTGATCCCAAGACTTTGGTAGAATGCCTCGCTGTTCTCGATCATCGAATCAAATGCCTCCCAGCTCTTGTCGGGTGCGGTCAGGAGGAACTGCTCAATCTTCTCGAACTGGTGCACTCGGAAGATTCCCCACATATCGCGTCCGGCGCTACCAGCTTCTTTTCTGAAGCATGTTGAGTAGCCAGCATACTTGATTGGAAGTTGAGTTTCTGGCGATTCGAACCATTCCTCAGAGTGGAAAGCAGAAATTGGCTGCTCAGAAGTTGCAATCAGATACTTCTCGTCGTCCGAGCCAACAACCTGATCTGAAATCAGTCCGATCAACGTGCAGCTATCGTTGGTCTACTGACTTTATACAGTTCCTCGTCAAATTGATCCAGCTGTGCGGTTTTGGCCATCTGTTCCTTGTTCATCATGAAGGGCGGCTGGATCTTTTTGTATCCCTTTCCTCGCAGGAAATCGAGAGCGTAAGCAATGAGAGCCTGGTTCAGATCTACGCCGTCGTTTGTGAGGAAGTAGCCTCGGTGTCCTGCAATCTTTGCACCTGCGTACGAATCTGAGCCATCTTCCGTTGAATAGACTCCGCCTTCGTACCACGGTCCAAATCCATAGCGTCGAGTCTGAGGAGAACTTCATGATGAGGCATGATACCGGCTCGTACCGGCGGTTCATCGTTCTCTTGTTCCGGGTGCCAGGTTCGAATGGTGACATTGTCATCCTACTCTATAAGCTAAGCAGTTGGATTGACTTTCCAAATCGAAGGACAAACCTCAGTCAAGCTGACAGGGACGCCTTTTGCGACGATGTTGCCCACAGTGCTTGCTTTACGACGCATCGTCAGTTCAAATTCCTTCGCCTCTTTCCTGAGAGAATCCACTTTCGTATCCAACTCCTTCTTCTGCGCCACAAGCTCATCTGCAGAGTCTTTGGCCTGAGAGATTTGAGAAGCTCGAAGTCGGTTATCGATCATGCACCACTACTTTTTCTTGGATGCAATTTGTTTCTGCATATCGTTGACCTCTTTCTTGATCTGATTCGCGTCAAAGTCCACTGGGAATCGGAACCGGACGTTAAGCGAGCGGTAACGAGTGGCACAGTGTAGAACGCGCACTTTTCACCCAATCTGCATACATCTGGATGATTTCATCGACCAGCTCGACCGATCCGCCACGACTACGCTGGGACTCCCGAATCTCCTGAGAGTTACCCCCCTTGTTGTCGATGAACTGCAGGATATCGAGAGTCATCTGGTTATGTGGTAGCCGTTGTTATCAAAGCGAACTTGTTTTGTGACTCGCAATCCTTGAGATCATGATCACCATCAGCTTGACGCGTATCACGTAATACAGGTAGGATCACGCCGGGGTGATGCCGATATTTGCCTAGCCCAAACACTCATCATGGCCTCCCTCCGTTTAGTCGCCTCCGCTGTGCGCCGTGCGCCCGCTGCACTGTCTCTTGGTAAACGAGGCTATGCTGAAGCGAGTGACAAAATCAAGCTCTCCCTCGCTCTTCCCCATCAGGTTCGTTGGCCTGCCAAGTGCAGCTCACGCAAAATTCATGGCCTCTTTCTAGTCCATCTTCTCCTCCGCCGATGTCGTGCAGGTCAACATCTGTGCTGCCACTGGTGACATGGGAATACTTGCCAACCATGTTCCGTCCGTCGAGCCTTTGCGTGCTGGAGTTGTTGAAGTCATAGAGTCCAGTGGATCCAAGAAGTGGTTTGGTGCGTCGCTTCCGCGCTTGACATTCCTCTATCTTAACTTTGACAGTATCTGGGGGATTCGCTACCGTGCACCCTGGCAACAAGCTCACTGTAAATGTCGTGGAGGCTGCACCGCTGGAGGAGTTTTCACCGGAGGTTCGTGTGTGGCTGGCTCACATCACCTCACCTCTCTCATGTTTCGTTCAGGCCATCCGCACTAACCTCCAGGAAGCTCTTCGTGTGGCTGGCGGCAACGGTTCAGAGGAAGACAAACTTGAAGCGCGTATTGAAGCTGATGTGTACGAGGCACTGCAGCATGCTGTAGCATCGAAGTAATTCCTTCTCGTCCCCTACATGAGCTTAAAATAGAAGATCACAAAGCTCCTTGTTCCGAGCATTCTGCGCTGCTAAATTGCCAACTGAGACCAAATGGTCGAGTCAGGCCGATCGATCGTCCGTGTAACCTTTCGCAATCCCGCTCCTTCCCTGCTCCAGCACACTGGGCGCGTCTTTCCCTAGTCGCATATTCAATCCTTGAAAGCTCCTTTCCTGTAAAGCTTGGGCTTGAACGGATACGAATGAGCTTCAATACCTAGCTAGTGCGTAACTCTTACATACCACCAAAATTCTCGGCTAGAGCAACTGCGGAATCTGGGTTGCGTATTGTCAAAGCATCCAGTGATTCGGACAAGCCACGATTGTTGGTTTTGGTATCGTGTTTGTTCAGGCCAAATTGCTTTACAGTGCGATACTTGCCTGAGACGAGGGAGAATGTAGGTCGCTCGCTGTTGACATCTTCGGTTTCAGATTTGTCCTCTTCACTCGGAGAGGTGACATTGGCTTCGGAGAGAAGTGATCCAAAGTCGAGAACATAGCGGCCGCTCCAGCTGTGTTCCGCCTGCAACGCAGTCTCAAGCTCGAATGGTGTCACGACCGGACGCAAAAATTCCTGTAATCATAGTTCAGTGAGGAACGGAGAACCAGACTCGCCACACTTTGTTGTCAATGAGAGAGTTTTCGGGACATGCCACAAGCACAAAACATTCGACTTCAATAAAATTGGCGAGTTTGGCCGGATTGAGTTTGCCCACGCAGAGGGTGTAGCTTTTCTTATTCGCGCGCGATATCAATCCCCGGAGATGCTTGATGAGAGGAAGATAAGATGCTTCGGACGAGTCAGACGGAGTGGAGAGATGGGAAAGGGGAAGACTGACCCACACCGAGAGTTCCAACAAGAATGCCGAAAACATCGCAATCGCGCGCTTTCTGGACAATTGCGTACCGCCGCATGAGAAGGCGGTTTGTGATCGAGGACTCCAGACGTGCTGTATTGTTTATGGGATCATACGAGTACACCTGAAATGTTCAATCGTCACGAGGAAAGTTGGCTTCAGCACTCACATTGACGCCGGAATGTGTTATGAGGATGTTGGCCAAGCGAAGCCCTTCGCCACCGATGTATACGATGCTGGAGTGGTCAGAAGATCGGGGTCCCTTGGTCTCGATTGAGGTAGTTGAACCTGGTTCGAATGAGTGTGTGATCGATTTCATGGCTATTGGAACTTGAAGCTTTGAATGAAGAGCATCGCGGAGACTAGCTATCCCAACTAAATCAGGTGATATCAGAGTAAGGGAAATCAAATCACCCATGCGGTGCGAGTAAGCCCCTTCAAACATCAGCTCCACACTGGCGCCGTCGAGCTCCAATACTTTGGACAAGGCGGAGACGCAGTGGTCGATATTGATACCCTGCTTGCCAAAGACATAGATCACAGGAAGACGGGATGTCCTGAAAACTACTGTGACTGTGATTGAGGATCGGTCAAGAGAGATGTACGGACTTGCTCATGCAGGCGCGACCATAATGTACAACAGCTTCAGCATCGACATGTTGCGCTGCCACTTCATCTACGCAGCAGCTAATGGCATCGATTCAGAAAAATACCAGGGAACATACACCCAAATACACCTACCTCCCATACGATGTGTCCGCCAGTACATAGAACTCCCTCCCCATCCCTCCAAGTGCATCTTTCAATCTCCGATACACCGGCACCGAATCATGAAGGAGATCATCCGGAAACTGAAGTGCGATTCGCTTGTATTCTGCCCGAGATATTTCCTCAATCGTGCGTGGAATGTCGTAGTATTCATCCAGTTCAGGAGGTGTGAAGAAGGTCACAGGCGCTCCCGGAGCGAGTGGAAGCGGCCGAGAGATCACATCGGTGTCCGATGAAGAGAATGCAGCCATCTTTGGAAATGTTGTGTTCGTAAGACTAGATTTTAGAGCAGCACTCCCCCAATCAGCAATCTTGTGCGAGGAAGATCGTAACGATCAGAGCGACGTCGGCGAACGCCGCAAGGGCAGAATCGCATCATTTCATCACAGCCACTCTACTGCTCTACCACCATACCACCATGCACGCCTCTGTAGCCCGCCGCACCCTTAGCGGCCTTGTGCCTCCCAAAATTGCCACACCTAAGCTCGTCGTATGTTTACATGAGTTTTTACACCATTCACTGGCTCAACGCCACATGTTTGTTTTCAGTCGGGCGACTCCGCCGGTCCCCTTGGTCCGCTTGTCTCCTTCTACTCGAAACTTCCCAAGGGCCCCGCCCCCGTGCCGGCTGTGCAAGGCATAAAGGGACGCTACTTCAGTGGAAAGAACGCCAGTGCGAAGCCTGCTCTGGTTCTTATCGGTGGATTGTGGCTTCTCGGGTACACCATAGACTACCAGAGTGCGTCTGTTCGGCATTCTTCGGGGCCATTTCATTGTGCTGATGTCTCAATTTCTGACTGCAGTGCACCTGAGTGAGGCTGAGCAAGCCATCTTTACATCCTGGGCATTTACTAACGTGTCTGCCAGAGCACCACAAGAACAACGCGCACTAGAGTGGCATGGCTCTGGACGGAGCATGAATGGTAGCCGAGCTTGCGCACTGCAGAACTGCTGTAGATATCGAAATGGAATGATCCTCGATTTATGCCTGCTCCTGAATCGTCCGTTGCTTTCCTGGCTTTGGTGGCCGCAGTCCGGACTATGTTGAACTTTCGCCTCCTTTCTTCGTGAGTTGGCAAGCGTTGCACTTGATCATCAAGTTGTCCCGCTCGTTCATGGTGTGCACCTCACAGTGCTGGTAGCTAATGAGTTTGTGCCGACAGTTCGTATCCAAGCAGAGCAAAGCTCCTTTCAACAATCGCCAGATCCAAGTAGAGATCACTGTCTCTTTCAGCTTACTCAGACAAGCTTGGACTCTGCCACCTTGCTCTGCATCCTTTTTTCTACCATCACACCCATACTCGAACTGTTGCAAATCCAGGGGACGGGGGCACAGGCACTGGATCTGCTTCCAGCCTGCGTTCATCGCGCGGTCGTATCCTACATCCTACCTCGGTCTCACGAGAAGGACGGGCCCGCGCTTATATGAGTGAAAATCTATCGGCCGAGTGGGATTGGCAGGTCTTTAACGAGTATCGCATTGGATTCCGACTCCGGGGAAGACGAGAGCATTCAGAGGGGTGGTGTCATGGGGAGTCTCGCTTACGAGCTGTCCCTCTGCCACGAGCGCTGCTGGGATCGCCGACGGACGAGCTCTACAGACTCATTGAAGACAATCCGTCCCCAGTCCAATTCTCGGAGTCTGGCGACTATTGCCACCCACCCGGCGGTCGCAAAGTCACAGCAGACTGAACCGACTAGATTGCAGGTCAAACGGAAACGTTCGCAAGCTTTGGACGGCGCAGAGAAGTTTGGCGGGGAGGAAACCGAGGTCAAGGAGCGTTTTCTACACCGAAGGGCCGTGGAGTCTTCGGGTTTGGAGGGAAACAGTGGCATCAGCGAGAAAATCAGCACCTCAGCAAGACATCTTCCTGGCGAGAGAACACGATGTTAGTCAAAACTCCGGCGGTGAACCAATCCAATATAGCAATGGGAGCATCGACCCGCCTACTTCCTATTCGTTTGACCGAGTCCCAAATCTTCGGCGGAGGAACTATGCGTACAATCACAGACGCACTGTTCGACGAGAATCGTCAGCTGCGTATCGTTTCCGGCTCTAGGACTACCCAGTTCGCGTTCTCTGCATTTCGTTCCAAGGTGGCCGGTCTGCATTTGAAACCTGGGATCTATGCAAGGACAAGGATCAGTCATGAGTGGTTGAAGATCTCGAGTAATCACGGGACAGAACTAAAACAATCCGGCTATCGGGGATTTTCTGGTCGGCCCGCTGCTGCCTGCTGCTAGAGCTGCATTTGGCCGATCCGCCAAAATGGCATGAACTGCCAATTTCTCAACCGGGCGCGACGATCGTCGATCTCACATATATCAGTACGAGCGTTGCGCCGACGCATCCGCCCTCGATTCAAAGTAGGCAGCAGCTTCCGCCTTTCTCAATCCGCTACGAAGGAGCGACGACGATCACCGCCACCGGCGAATTTATACCTATGGACCCCAGTAAAGGCATTGCCGTTGGCGCCACCTGGCATAAAGGAGCTGCAAAGCCGGAGTCACAAGGCAAACAACATCGTAGCTGGTCGTGCCCTTTCGTGATCCCGGTTCCGACATGGCTGTTTGCAAAATGCGAGGCACGTGTTTTCGAAATGAATGCGCTGGTTTACATCAGCGGGAAGCAGATCCCGTCGGGTCTTGTTCGCGTCAGTGTTTCGTCGTTAAGATCGGATAAAGAGATGGCTTCAATGGCCAGGTGATTTGTATTCAATGTTGCGTATGAAGTTGGTATGTACTCGGTTATCCATGGGGATCAATCGATACTTGTGGCTCCTTACGAGGCAGGGCAAAAGGTGACAGTATACGACGGCTGAGCACCAGTCGGGCAGGTGAAGAGCGAGGTCAGATCGTCGTAAGCATAAGCGTAAGCCAATGGGCAGGCTTGTTCTGCAGAGTCGTCGGTCAGCTTCACCTTCAGATGCAGTCGGAGAAACAGCGTACTGAAGTAGGAGTAATGTCCAACACCGGAAGACGGGCAACTTTGCACAGATCAGAGAGGAGCCTGGTCAATGCTCAAGAAGACTCACGTAGCAGGCGTGTCATGAATTCCACTGCAGCAGCTGGGGTTGTCGTCTGGAGCATGATTGTAAGTACAGCGAAATCACATGGGAGAATGTAAACATACTCGGATGGCCGTTGAGCGCGTCAACATAGCATTGGCTCTTGCATCCGACGGGAAAGCCAGATGAATCGAATGGTCCTTTGAGCTCAGCGGGGCAGTTGGGCCCAAGGTCAACGGGACACTCAGAGAGAGCGCAGCCTGCCGTGTTGTCGATCCGAACGCTAAACAGATGTCAGGCAGATGTCACCATCGGCACAGACGACTGGACGAACGGGAGGTTGTATCCATCGACGACGGAGACTGCCGGATGTTCTAGCGAGCGAAGACAAGGTGCATGGGATGCGTACCATCGTAGTAATCGGTGCTTCCGCCGTTCGCCCCGAGGTTGAACTCCGCCAATGACGCAGGCGGAACACCAGTGCCAGTGGCACGATCGCAGAGCAATCCACCGTTGCAGCCCCCATCCAGGCAGGAGTTGGGGCCCGGGTTGTTCGAGAAATCGCAGTTGCGACGACCCCAGATACGTCCGTTCTAGTCATGGTGAGAAAGACACGGCAAACTTGCAAGAGCCCACAAACCCAATCATTCGGGATGTCGAAAGTGACTGCGCTGAAGGCACCAGCGGCCCATCCCGTAGGATAGTTGGGAGTACCTCCAGCACTGGTGAAGTACGCAGGCCTGCACAAGTGTGAACCTTGCGAGACACAGGCATCAATCTTCACTGGCTTACCAGATAGTGAACGGGCTGAAGGTCGCATCGTCAGCGAAAGTCCATGACCGAACAATTGGGGGACCCACCATGCGTTGTACACAGTCATCGTCCGCGCGGTCGCGGCAGACGCCAGAGCGAGAGAGATAGCGATTGACTTCATGGCTGGGATGGGAGATACCAAGACGAAAGCGACTAGTTTTCGTTGGGTCTCCCTTCTCCTCTGACCTCACTTATATATGTATCAGAGAAGCCCTGATCTCGGGCGCTTGCAGATCTTCATAAGCGGACCGTTGCCGACATATCAGTCTAAAACACGCATGTGCGGGGAGTTGAAGATGGGCCATCACTTTGTTGCACAGATCCTGCCTTGTCTCCCAGTCGGTCGAGTGCTGTAGATCGTCTTGGCATATGTAAGAGACGGGCCGGCGGCATAAGAGATTGACAATCTCATGATTGGGACAGGCTAACCCACACGTGACTATTGGAGCACCAAGGCCGTCATGATCAACGAGCCAATGATGATGGCATGTGAATGTAGCTCAAAGTTTTCTGCCGCCTGCGCGGAATACATTGCAGGTGTTGATATATTTCAGGCAAACGATGTTACCTAGAGGGCCTGTGGGTGAGAAGAAGAAAGTCTTGTCTACGGAAATAAGATCCAGCCCTCATGCTCCTAGTAGTTGCAACCTTTGCGGTTCCATCTATTCATCCATCAATCCTTCCATCATCCCGTCCCCATCAGCTCTAGGTGCGTTAGGTGTGTTTCAGAGTCGACTTGCGGTTTCTCTGGTGGCTCCATGTCTAGATGTCCGTTCCGCGCAACCAGGCGCCCAGAGAAGCCTTGCGTAAAGCTCACTATCACTTCGTTCTCTAAAATCCTCGGAAGTACAGCTGACCCCTGTCTCCCACAGATGTCGATTGCAAGATTCCAGCACACAGACACCATCAAGATTCAAGATTGTCCAATTCTCCGGGCGTTCTGAATTTGAATTGCGAAAGGGCTGAAAGGGCTTCCGAGAGTCGGACTGCTCACTACCATGTTGAACAAGTGCTGAAATGTTTCGACAAGCTGACGAATTGTAGAGGCTTGCCTAAAACACACATCCTGTCGCAACCTGCTTGTGGCAACTACCGCCAACTACAGCAACTGACTGCGGCGACACATGGGGATCCCGGCAGAGATATGCGTGACTTATCCTGGAAGGATGGGCATGAGCAGATGACACCGCACAAAAGATTCTAATATTTATAAATAGTATTTATACCAATATATCATATCTTGTCTCGAATCAAATCCAGCGGGAATCGGACTAAAAATTTCGAGCTTCCTCTTGTGCAATCCATCAGCACTCAGCCTCCAGTTCAAATGATCAACGAGCTGCTGGGACTGTGCGCACCAACGACCGTGAAAGCAAAGTAAGCCTATCCGATTGAAGTAGTGACACAAGATCAGGCTTCAAGGTCCGAAATTTCAGGCTTCATTTGGTGGGATCGAACGCAGGAACGACGCTTCTACGGCGTTGCATTCAGACAGCGTCCAGGGCCAAAGTGTAACGAAATCACTCGTCGCGCATAAGCAACGGCATTTTCCGAACCCTAACCCACAACTCTGCTTCTACCTCGTGTTACTCACCATCCTACGTTCTTTCCCAGTCAGCTCTAATCCTTCCCCGTCTTCGACGACGACGGTGCCCGTCCGATGGTTATGTCTTCCGGATCTGGGGGACCTAAACCGCTCGAAAAAGGCGATGCGCCTCTGGACAAAAGCACCACTAACGGAAACAGCGACGAAACGCACGCGCTATCGCTACAAGAAGCAACCAGGAATTCTACAGCGTTATGGCAGCAGGATCTGGCGACGCTTTTTCGAAACTCAAAGGATCGGTTCCCCGACGTGGTATGGGAGCTCAAGAATGTCGAGGGTGAAGTGATCAAGGGTATTGAAGAAGTCTGGGGACACAAAGGTGGGTGTATTGTTTTATTAGTGCCTACCTGGACCCATACCGTCTACTATATCACCAGAATAACTCTTTGCTGACTATTTGCACTCACAGCCATCGTTTACGCTCGCGCACCGCCGTCGTTCCAGTCTCGGTACTTTTCGTTTCGTCCACAAGACCCGCACCGCGACTCTCCAGGTCTAGGCACTTCCGTCCTCTCGCTCGACTTTCGCGGATCACCATCTCCCTTCCACAACGGAACTTCGTCGCCCGCTCCCTCGACCACGGTCGGCGGCATCACGCGCCTTACTACAAGCATCAATTCGGCGCTCTTTTCCAATGAACTCGAATACCTCTACACAGGCCAAGGTTTCGGAGAAGCCTTCGAGTTTCTGTTCGATGAGCAGGGTGGTACTGCGGAGGGTGACGAAGACGGAGAGGAGATGCGCATTGATAAGCTCAGGAAGGATCTGGTGTTCATGTGGCGGTCTAGATTGTACTCGGATGTGCGGATTGCACTGGTGAGCAACGGGTCTGTCGCGACGGACCAGGGCGGAGACAGAGATGAAGATGATCACGACAAGCAGATGCCCGTGTTTTCTTCGCATCGGTTTATCCTGGCCTCGCGGTGCCCATACTTCCACACTGCCCTTCTTTCGTGGCCAGGGCCCCAGAAGCCACTCACGTCTAGCGCATCGAACCACGAGCCGTTGATTCTGAATCTCCCGTCGCCTCCATTCACTCCAGCCTCTCTGCACTTTACACTTGGATTTCTTTATACAGGCACACTGGTCTTCTCTCATCGCACGTACGATCTCACCACTGCACTTGCTCTCTTGCAGTCCGCCAACTACCTTTCAATTCCTGCTTTGTACGAAGAAGTGAGGGGGCGGATAGTCGTCGAGATGGCACATGGGCTTTTCCACGCCGCGCTACCGTTTCCGGCTTACGAAGCCATGACCGGAGGGGTCTGGGGTGGGGGCGGTTCGCGGTCTCGCAATGCATTGCCGAGCTCCACTGGAGGTAGCGTCGGCGGTTGCACGTGCCGTCGCTGCACGCTCAGAATCCCACGTATCTTGACGTTTGCTCTGCGGAACGACGTTCACGATCCCATCCTCGAACGCGGTTCTCGGCGCGCTTTGGTTGGGCTGTTTGGGCTAGGATGGTGCACTGAGGAATTTGGACGACTGGAAGGCAAGATCCACGCTGCTGCCTTGCGGGGGCTGGCCAAACGCACTTCCGCCGAAAGCGGTAATGTACTGCGTATTTTATGGGCTGCTGAGGCGGCACGCGCGAAATTGACTGGTGTTGATAACGGCTTGGGCAAAGGCGGAATGAAACTGGGCGGATCGGGTCGAGGTGCCCAAAAAAGCGACGAGGATTGGGTGGATATCGTGCGGCCACTTATTGAAGCAGCAAGAACGCAAGCCGACAAAGTTATGGCCGATCAAACTGCATTGGTGTTTGCCAGCGGGGAGTGGATGGAGATCGTCCAGAGTCAGGGTGCCCGCTTCGATGACGCGGAGCGAGTCGAGTTGTCAATGCGAAGTATCGTCAGAGGTTTGAGGGAATCGAACGCGGGAAGAGTGTATCAGGTGAGTATCTTTTCTCGTGTCGATGGACTTACCTCAGCCTATGTAGGCTCTAGTCAATGTGCTGTTGTTACCGGCGGAGGGGAATGAGGAGGAGTTTCCTCGTGACCAAAATGGATTTCCGGCTCAACCGCTTTTGGCGCAGACAAGCCACGTCCGAGTTCAGGTCGAACAAGCCAGGTCTGTCTGTTTCCATTATGTGCTGTTTGTTCTGTGCCTGTGAACGGGCCTGAAACTTATGCATTTTCGCTGTCTTCTCTTGTATGCTCAATGCCCTTATGCAGAATGGATGTGTTGGCATGGCTGAAGCGTGGCGGCCACGGTCGTGCCGATAGAGTTGCACGGGAAGGTGGCTTGGACGGCGTGCAAGGCTGGGCGATCAGCGAAATCGCCGATGGTGCGTGACTTGTCTCTGAGAGCTATTCTAGGCAATGACAATTTCATTCAGCATTGGATCTGCGAGCCGACGATCTGACGGCCGCCATACCCACATCAAGCACAATTTCGGTCCCTAACCATGCCCGGCAGACCACGGCATCGACCTCGGCTGCCCATGCCCGCAAGTCGACTGGTTTACTGAGTGCCCGAGCGCAGGACAGGGAGGAAACCCGGAGCTTGAGCATTCACACGCAACAGAGCAGCATGCGGGTCAGTGTCCTCAGCAAGGGTATCTCGACCCCAACAGCCAGAAGCGTCCGAAAGCAGGAAAGCAGAGATGAGGAAATTGGGGATCGGCCGGACTCGAAGTTGACTCCCCAGATGGGTGTGATGGATCTCGACCGGGATTCTCCGTCTTCCAGTCCGTCGTCGCCCAAAGTGCCTCTTTCGCCGTCTCCTTCTCCACGACCAGCAGCTCCGACGCGGTCTTTGCCATCCTCACCGTCAACGACATCTCTTGCAAGCTCAACGACTGGACCTAAATACGCTCGTTCGGGCATCAGCGTCAATGTTTCCCCTGCCCCGAGACCCCGAAGCTCTGCTAGTACTAGGAGCACAGCCACTGTTCGTTCGACAGCCACGACCAGGGGATTGACCAGGGGATTGCATGTTCCAAGTGCAACCATAAGACGAACGAGCACTGCCAGCACCTCCAGTGCAGCGGAGTTCAAGACTGCGCTAAGCACAGCTGCGTCCTCGACGAGATCCCGTTCGCGGCAGAATTCGGTCTCGTCGACGAGTGTGAGGAGTCGGAAAACGAGTGGAGCATCAGACGCGTCTGTCTCGGCCACAAGTCCGTCGCGGACAACTCCTGGGCCAACAGCAGCAGCAAAGAAAAGAGTCGGGACACCGAGCATTCGTAGTGTCGCTGGTGCCAGCGTTCGGAGCACGAGCACGATGGACACTGCTACCAGTGCGGCGAGACGAAGTGCTACCGCCAAAGAGAAGAAGCCCGAGGTCAAAGTCATCACATTGAAGCATCGGCCCCGCGCTGCCACTGGGGCTAGTACTAAAAGCAACAAAGGGAAAGAGAAGGAGGAAGAGAAACCAGAGAAGCCGCAACCACCGTCACCGCCGACATCCGAGATGGACGTGGACATGGTCTCCATATCAAATGCGTCCGGTGCCTCCAACATTTCCGGGACGACAGACAAGGACCACCGCAAGACGGACAGCACTGCTAGTGTCTCGACATTGCGCGCCAAGCGACGTGACTCAACCGCCACAATCTCGACAGCGACTACCAAACGTCCGGTGACGTCACTGGGCGCGCCCGCTGTACGTGGCGCAAT